CACGTACAGGTTCTGTTGAATATGGTAGAATTCGGAATGAATCCACAACAAGCCATTGATGCTCCGAGATTTTGTGTTGGTGGTGGCTATGGGTAAAAGTGCTTAATATTTTTTCATCTGCACATCATTAATATTTTTAAGAAGGCAAATGTAACCCCCCTTCCACACAATTTTAACAAAGTACACGAAAGCATGGAAAGCAATACTGATGAATCTTTCGATAACACGGCCCACAGCATCAACAATCTTTTTTTTAAAGATTTCATTGAGTACTTGTTCTTGTTGTACTTTGGATGGACTATAATGTATTTTCAAAATTATACGATTTAAAAACATTTCAAAATTAAATTTCTTTTTTCGCCTTTTAGGTGTGGAAATGTGGTATCATTAGAGGAAGGTATACAAGAGGACACAATTCGTGTCTTGAAAGATAAGGGACATAATGTGGAGGGACCTCTTGTTGGTTATGACAGATCTCTGTTTGGAAGAGGTCATGTCATTGCCAAAGGAGACTGGTGGCGTGGTGATACATCAAGTCGTAGCGACGTCTGGTGGGGAGGTTGTGATCCTCGAACAGACAGCTCCGCAGTTGGCTTTTAACATCAAGGTGATTTCAATATGTCTTCCATAAACTTAATTGAATAAATATTACTTGGGCTCATACATCTTTCAACCGTGCTTCACTTTAACACGTAAATGTAGTTATTTTCACGTGTTTAATTATCAATATGATGAACACACAAATAATACATGTCTCTGAAGATTTTTTTGTCGCTCAGAAATTAGTACCTTGCGAAAATAAGGGCCTAGGAGAGGGTTACTTGACTTCAAAATGGCCTGAAAAAGATTGACTTGTATCGTCGACATCTTGAAGAACTAAAGGTCAAATCGTCTGAGGGGAGTAATGTTCGATCCGACAGAACTGATAATCTAATGATATAATCTTTGTAGCGTCTTTCTGCTCCGCTTTGGTAATTACGTTGTTATCTTCAGATGTCACGAATTGTTACCAGAATTGTTACCATCGAAACCATGTTGAATATCACTAGTGACTAAAGACAAATGAAAACCAAATGCAACATAATATAAAGATCTTACAGTACAGCCTACACGACAATACACTGTGTAATTTAAATAAATCACGTGAGAAAAAGTTTCCTAATATAATCGATTACAAGATCATTATTACAACATAAATTCCTTTTAATCCTCTAAGTACAGGGAGGCAACTGCTGGAGATGGTTTTGAGGCTTGTAATTCTTGACTTACTGTAAGAAAAAAGAGATGATATTATAACTCAGTAAGACATAATAATATTTAAGTCTGCGAATCGAAAAGCCAAACTTTGAAAAGCATTTATTCGACCGAGAAAGTTTTAAGCCTCCATATACGAGTAGTTCTAAGCGCCAAAACTATTTTCGCCCACATGAATGGTTGATACACTATTCAAATAGAAACCAATAATATCGGTGACAAATAATAAATATTGATAAAGGCATTATTGCCTGACTTCATTGATTGTTATTATTTAATTAGGAAAGATTAACTTGTTTTATTGACATACTGCTGTCAGGCATGATCCATCATAAATCACAGTTCAATGTGGTTTAATACTAAACGAATGAAATATCCTTATCGTTTATCTAGTTAGCGCTGAAAAACAGGAAAATTCAATTTCAAGTATAAGCCCTATATAAAGAAGAGAGAACTGATAGAGGAATATATTCAATAAAAAAGAGAGTCGACATTCAACAGCCAATCTTTCTTTAGTTTAATTAAATGATAGGACCACGCAGTAAAATTATATGCAGATAGAACAAGACTGATACGTAACCGTTGGACGTGTTTTACGACATGTTCTCTGGCATCTTACAAGAAAGGAAATTCACTTTTTGAACACATGGTATAGATTTCGGGCTCTGTATACATGTTAACTACCTGGTAATTACGTCTTCATGTTAAGTAAGTAAAGAACTTGATGCCCTTTTCATAACAACCATCTAATAGAAGTTTTACCTGTAATTGGGTTGGCCTCATTTAAACTAGTTCCAGTTTGAACTCGGTATGTAACTTGTGGGTCTAGAAACATAAAAGACATATTTTAACAGCCAGATCAGGATTTACAAGTGTTCGAGGATAACGTACATAATCAGCATTTGAAGTTGAAGCCAACACCTGGTTAAAAACATGTCTCTATAAATTCAAATTTTTTCGTCGTGAAAATATTACTCAGCAACAACTGTACAGTAAGGCATTGTGTGAAATGAAATTGCAATGTTTTTAATTTTTGCAAAGAAGATTACTTGTACTTTTTTGAGAATTCCCCTAACCAATGTCTCATTTTGAAATCGTCTCAATATTACAATGTTTATTGTAGGAAATAATTAGATAGACATTTTCGTAGCAATCGTTTCAATTATTATGAATAGAAACCATAATGATCGTTTTCCATGCCGTTATTTATTCCAGGAGAAACAGGAAAAGAAATGAAAAGAAACGTACTTGGTGTGATCTTATTACGCCGTTTCAACAGAATACATCTAAAGGCTTCTGAGAAACCTTTCCTGAAGTTTTCATTCAAGCCACCATATAATATTGGGTTTATGGCACTGTTAAAATAAGCCACATAAAGGGCGACATATTTCAATAAACTGACATAATCAGCTGGCTGCAAAGAGATCAATCAGTATTGAAGTTAAAGTATTATTTTACTTTAATATAAAAGGGTCTAAAATCTGTAGAAATCGGACTTTACTTATCGCTAATTTTACCAATTGTACTTCACACAACGATTGTATATTGAGGATCGTGTACTTGTGATTGCATTTATGAACAACATCTTGAACACAACTTGATAATCACCAATTGTGCCATTTAATTATAACATACCTTAACATTTTTTTCTCTGAATACATCCCATATTAGTAAAACCTGCTGAGGTGTCCAGCAAACGATGAAAACCACTAATACTGCTATTAACATCTTAATAACCTGGAAAATACACATCCTTAATGGTGGTTAATAGATTTCTATATACAAAGTTTGACAAAATCTCCCGAGGTTCTACAAATCTTTGAAAAAAAAAGTTTCTATAATAGTTCATAATTAGACTGTGCCTGTGCAAGGTTTAAGATTTAGAATTAAGAAGCTAGAATTTAGGAGCAATATTATTTCACTTAAGTGGGGTTGTCGCTCTTTCTACCCCTACCTCCTACATGGCTGCAATTTTGTTAATCACGTGACCCCAAGTTGATATCAAATATGGCGCTTTATTTCGTCACTTACGAATTCGCGAAAATAACGGAGTATTCATACTTATATAGGACTACTCACCTTTCTTTTTGCTTTTTGTTGAGTTGTAGCAGTAGAAGTGATCACTACCCCGGGTGTTTTTCGGACCAGTAATCGAACCGAGATAATAGTATAAGTTATTATCATTATGACTATAGGTAGGAAGTACATTATACATCCTTCAATGATATAATATATTATTTTACCAGGCTCTGAAGTTTCACAATCTTTATCAATATAGTATGTCGGCCATCTTTCTTCACACCAGACCTCGTGTCGATCTTTCCATAACTACATTTAAGAAAGAATTTGTTCGATTAGTAATATTATTGAATGGGAAATCAATGAGAGATGTACGTTCAAAACATTTTGGATTGAATTAACTCTTTCCAAGAAAAGATCTGTATATGCGCTAGTGTGAAATGGAAAATTCTGCGAGGAACTGCCTTTGTATAAAATGAAATTATTCTGACAAAAGTATGTATAGTAAATAGGAAAAATTAACTTAATGTGTCTTAACATCTCCAAGTTTTGTTTAAACTTAGCTGAACATACCTGTTGATATTGTTTACGGACAAATAAATGAGGTGTAGCTATAGCTATTGCCAACACCCAATCGGCGATGATAATACTTCCGGTTATAACTGGCGACCATTTTGGTTTAAATGGATGTACGATAGCTATATATCTTTCTATTGATATAACAGTTAAGGTCAGCACGCTGGATGTTAGCGCTAAAACTGAAAAGAAATACAAACTATGTTTTAAAAAAATAATTACATTTGATGCATTCCAATTCCAACTTCTTATTTCACAATCCTTTGAATTTTCATCTCTTTACTCCAAACAATATACTTATTTCCATTACCATAATAAAAGTTTTGAAGCGAAAAGTGTAAATTGTATTCAGGGCCCCATGAACTGATATTCCAGCCACTTGAATTCACAAGATGGGGATATAGGATAGACTAAGCAAAGAAAAATACTAGGCTAGACTATATGAATCCGGATGTGTACGTCTCCCATTCCAAGCATCACTGGAAGCAATGTATCGGATTACTTCGATAAGGGACCATCGATATGACCGACATAAGCAGACATGAAGTTGATTTTCAATGATCTCAGGATCGAACCGAAAGCACTCATGACTAAAATCACAGTTGACGCCTATTGCCAACTGTTGTCTGGCAAAAGTTTACCCTTGACTCGAACCGTGATGATAATCGACTACCCAGTTGCTTAAAGTCGTCTGTATGTAAGTTTGTCTATGTGAGCCTTTATTTCATGTCAACTGCCACGGCTTGATGGTTTGAATGATACGCATCGAAGCAGATTAGAGAATGTGTGGTGGGTGATGATTGTGGGATTTTATAACCACAAAGCACTGACCTTGAACACAATATTATTGATGAAAAACACTAGTGTTCATGGGCTATGCTTTTGTCATAAAAAATAAGTGAACAATACCTTGTATAAAGTTGTTCACCTTACAAACCACTTCACCAAATATCCACTCGGCAGAGATCTGATTTCCAACATGAACCCACATACAAAATATTCCGACCATTATATCAGATACAGATAGGTTTAATATCAATATATTGGTGGTAGTTCTCATCTTTTTGTTAAGAATAATTATCAGTATAACTATCGAGTTACCAACAATATCCAATACAAAAGCAATCAGATAGAATAATACTTTTAGAAACATTTCCCAAGCTTCAACATCGCGAGGTAGCGACGGTGCGGATACATATTTGGTGATATCGACAGGAAGAGTAATCTCTGGAAACGGTTCGCCTGGAACACATTCTAGATCACCAAGTCCTGGAAGATGCGGCATTTTTAAATACAAAATATCAATATCAAAACACTACTAGTTCTTCTACTATCATCAATTCTGAGCGTCCAAGGAAGACCCAATTGAACCTAGTTTTTACTTTGTGGTTGTAGTTCAGAATTCAAACTTCGTTTATTAATGCTCATCCGTTTATGAACATTATTAGATCCACTAAATGATCTCATTAGTACTTTCTGAACATATGCTACAAAACAGGGTGGTATTCACCTTATCTGCTATTCTTGTGCATAAGTATATTGTGCGTTTTGTCATAGGTATTACATTATTTTCAGGAATGTTCCATATAAAAGCTACAAATAGCTTTAGTAATATACTACACACATGAAATAGCTTTCCATTATAATTTTTACAACACGTAATTGCAGAACTTCTCACATAATAATGCTAGAAAAAACTGAATTAGTGTAAAATAAACTTTTCTATTATTCTGATTTCTAGATCCCCGAGGCCTATGGAACTATTGTAAATAAAATCTAATTAGTTATTATGGTCTATTAATCAAGTTTTTTTTTATGAATTAGTTTATTTTTCTTTGTCAATATTATAAATTACTTATGATCAGTAAACCTTTCGAATGGCCTTCTAAATCCGGAAGTGGAAAGCTGATGAATCTGAAGTTCATCATACAGTTGTGTGCTCAATACTTATCAATATAAAACTGAGAGTTAGGTCCTACTTTTCTTCACCTGAGCCTGGTTCAGAACAAAGGAACCGCCATGTCATGTGTAACCATGTAAATGAAAATCTGTTTCCAGGACAATGATGGACCCCTTTACACAAGGCTTCGAATGACCACTTAATGACAATAATAATAATCGCTTTAAAACTATAAATATTAGACCAATAGCTTTCCTTGCATTTCGCTCAAACAAAAACAAAATTAATCAACAACAAATACACAAGCAATATAAAATTGATAACAAAATAAACGCATTATGACCGTCAAACCGATAAATTTACATACAAATTTGACCAAAAACTGTAGCAGGCCGACACTGAAATATGTTGATTTTGGGTTGGTTAATACTTTTAGATTTGAAGAGATGCTATTCCAAAGGCTAGATCCTTTGAAAGCTTAACTGTATTTGATGAGGGAGATTTGTGGTAGATCCTTTGAAAGCTTAACTGTATTTGATGAGGGAGATTTGTGGTTTCGGAAGTATGATTATTTTATTGATGTTATTGAAAGGGTTAATATGGAACGAAATATTTTAGATATATGTTGGGTACTGTTTATTTAAAATTTTAAAAGCATAACTTAAGTTATATTCACATTAATGACATGCTCTGAAATTAAGTAAATTAAATAAAATGTTTTAATCGTTTAATGCACTCAATAATACTTCAAAATTGGTTGTTTATCATCCAAGCAAAGCCTTACAATAAGATTTACGCCCGACTCATTTCATCATTTTCATATTACGTAAACATTAAAAAAAAAACAAAAATAACAAAAATAAATGTAGGCATGAAAAAAAAAAATGAAAATAAAAACACATTCATGCATATAAAAACTTAAAGGTCGTTTCACTCTTATCAACACAGAAAACCAAATTTTGCTTTGTGTTGCCTTATTTACTTACTGATACTAATGTACAAACAGTGTTTTTACTGTTATCTTATTACAATGTGTTGTTAAACTTTGATTAACTCTTTGTTGTTTAAGACGCAACTTTCATTTAGGTAGCGTAATATTATGGCCAGTTTTTGTAATTGAGTTTTTTACCTTAAAGGTATTAAGTCTGTTGAAATATTTTTAATTTCTAAAAATATTAACTTTGTTCCTAGATATTTCAGACCAAGAGTACTTTATACCCAAAACACATCATTTTGGGTTGGAAAATGGTCAAATGGGTGCCAGCCCTGAGACGTTATTAAGTTGTGTTGATAATATCAATCATGAGAGTCCAATCTTACAAAGTACCCATCAAACGAAAGCGATTGATGATATAGAAAGAGGAAGACTTTTCCAAATGAAAAGCTGCAAGACTCAACTATATTTACCTGCCCTAAATTGTCAATGACTAATTTTAATGTCTCTTATGACTTGAATAGACGCAGCTTTTAACTCGTTATGATTCGAGCTCTTTAAAAAACGAAAAACCTTTCAAACATATTTGGGAGTGGATAGATTTCTTATTCATTACACGTCTATAATTTTTAATGTAAATTAAAAAGGAGTTTCTCAAACTATTTAAATGATACGTTCTTATAGCTGCTGTTACAAACAATATTTTTTCATTAATACAGAATCATTTTAACAGAATATAATAAAGATTCTTTTTAAAGACTGCTTTCCTGTAAGCATGTAAGCTGTAAGCTATTCGGTATGTTGATGAATGAAGAAAAGCATATTTTCGCTATCAAAAGTTCAAAAGCTGGAAACAGTGGATAATGATTTGGAAAACAATCACACTTTTGTCTGGTATTCACCAAACGTCCACCTGTAGTAAGACATATTGTATTGAAATTCGCTTCTGATTATCTTACAAACAACTATTTCTAAAATATCTTGAACAATATTGTCGATTGTCGAAAAAAGTTCTTAGTGTGTACAGTTCGGAAACTGATGCCAAACTCATACAAGATTGTTTTTGTTACCGAGATGTAAATGATGTTGACGAAATGGACTTTCAATGATCTATTTGAATCCATGTGATGTAAACAAAATGAAATACCTCTTGCCAGGAGATTCCCAAATGCTGTTTCATTCAGATGAAATTTATGTAGGGGGTTTGTCTCACAATCTCAAGTAGGGCCCATCCAATACATCTGAATCTCTGCTAATGCAAATCAGATGGAAATCGAAACAAGGAAATCTTTACCCTCCTGATTTTGATGATACATTAACCTATTTACTATATATATTCAAATTTTAGTATGTTGTACTTTCTTTATTACATCAAGGTGTTCCTATTGGACAAAATATTTGTACATTGTTCTAGTGATCCTGAATATAAACTGAAAGAAATCTCCGATCTTTAGTGACGTACACTGTAAAAAAAATTTCCTTCCATTAACAGAAAAAATTCCGGCAGCTGATTTACCAGAATTTAAATTTTGCCTTCAGTTATATAACAGAATTTCTTGTAAAATATTTGCTTTAAATAACAGAAATATTTTACGACAAAATCTGTTAAATTACAGAATGACTAATAATATTTCCTGTAATTAACAGAAAATAGAAAGGATATTCTGGTAAATCAGCTGCCGGAATTTTTCTAATATTTCCTGTAATTTAACAGAAAAATAGGAAGAATATTCTGGTAAATCTGCTGCCGGAATTTTTCCTTCCAGTTCTGTAAAAAAACAGAATTTTAAAAAGGATATTCTGGTAATAAATCTGTTGCCAGAAATCATTTTCATTTTACTGTAAAATAACAAAACATTTCAACTTTATGTGTTTATTGGTATTATTTGTGCATTTAAAATAATCAGAGAAAATGATGTTAACTACACCTTTAATTATACATACAACTGAAAATGTGGGCTGTATAAAAACAATCTCTTGCATAAAAACAAATGATGAACTTGAAATACATACTCGTCACTAATGACATCTTTAACATTCGGATAACTAATGACATATTTTAATATTCTCATAAGTAATGACATCTTCATAACGTTCTGATTTAACTAATTCAGATTTAACTAATGTCTTTTTTTATTTATGTTGACACTCTTTTCTCCATTGCCCATATTTTATTAATATTGACAGAACCTGTGGCTCAGTAATGCTACTACTTCACCATTTTTAGTGTTCCACAAGGTTATAAGACTCCATCATCCAGCGCAATACTGTTCATGATGCAACTCTAATCATTATTATAAGGCCTAATTGTTTTTGATGTGCACAGTTAATTGTTGCTCGTTCGAAAGTCAGGTCAATCTCATAATGCTCCGTAACTTTTAGCTGGTAAATAATGGCAGAAACTCTAAAGAAAGGGAAAAGGTGACATACCTGAAAAGATAAATTTAAAATGAGAAAATATTTGTTGTGCTAATGTACTGTAGTAGTGTAGTAATAGTAGGGCACTGGATCTTTCAGTTCGAGAAATCCAGAGTCCAATTTGCCCTCGTTTACGAATTTTGTAATGCCTCGCCCACGTGGTGGATCCTAACATTGAGTGTAAATGGTTAAGGTTTATTGACAAGAATATTAATGACAGAATTCTCATTCCTTGTATTCTTGTACTCTGGTGCAATCATAACCGTAAAAGGCTGTAAGTACAAACAAAAACAGAAAAAGAAATTATAAATTAAAAATAATAAAATATGTCACTTATCATCTGTGGCCGTACAAAATAATTTCTTAAAAGCAAGTTGCACAGTTTGACATTCCAGACATTGCAAATGTTATTAATAGTAGGTACAAACATTTTATATAGTGTCACATGTACAAAGTTGGTGGGAAAACTGACTTGAGGGATCTATGCATAATTTGGCGCCATTTTGTCGGGTTTGTTTACATTTTGGTAAAAGTTTTCAGACAGCATGAACAAAGTTAAAATTGCAATAGAAATTATGGATCCTGTGATATTTCATATCGTTGGAGGTTTTCTTATGTAATCGGGTATAAACTTACATTGAGGTTGGCTAAACCTGAAGAATTAGAGAAATGAATTTAAGGACTTCATTGCCATAAAAAAATTATTAATTTTTCTACTCTCTTAGACAGAAGAGTTCCAAACAGAAAGATGACTCTTGACAAGACTGATCTAAGTTTCAGACCACAAATACCACACATGTATAAAGTGATAAAATGGTAACATTACAAATTTATTTAGGCAATAATTAAAATACACTCACCTGTGAATTTGTATTCAGTGATCATTTCCACTCTACCCAAGACCAAGTAAGCTAAGCCTAGTCTAGTTCATCATGTAGGATAAATTTAAGTTATTTTGTCGTTGTCCCCACACGCTTAAAATTCAGTAAAACATTTTGCAGTTTTTGACATGCATCTCACCTTATTAAATTTAATTTAAGAAATTCACAAAAATCCCTTCGACGTAGCCTTGTTTTGATGTGGGATAAGATGGCGGCGTGACGATAAACTGGACTCGTGTCTTTACCGATGACGTCATACCTACTTTGATTGACAGGTCGAAACTATCATAACGCAAAATCACAGTTTCCGTAAATTAACAGCAATCCTGTTATAATTTTCCGTAAGGAAACATAAAGTTCCTGTCAAAAAAACAGTATGACCACGCATGCGCAGACTTCGCTTATCTACAGACAAAAAATGATAATAACACAGAATTTACGTAAATTTACTGACAAATAACGTAATTTTTCTTAAATGACATACGACAAAGATTAATTTACGTAAAATAACATATTTCCTTATTGCGGAACTAACATTCTGTTAATGTAAGAACAAAGTCCGTAAATCAACAGAAAAGTATGTACATCAGCAGAAATTTACGTATATCAACAGAAAATATCAAGTAAATTTCTGTAAAAAAAACCGACTTTTTTTACAGTGTAGGTCATCGTGGTCGTTAGAGATTTGAAAGCTGTATGTGATAATTGGGATAATGAAACAAACTCGATGAGTGATAATATTATAATATAATATTTTACAGGTATGACGCCGCTGGGGACGTTTGGCATATAGTGTGATATTCTAACATGAGCTATGTAGGAGATGAAAGAAAAAAATGAAAGAATTTTCAAAGATGTTTTCATTTTCCCCCTTAATTAATCGTTATAGTATAAGATCAAACAGTAGTTATCTGGCTCAATGATAAGTGGAACTAAGAAATTTAACGGACTATTAGCCAAATTTCAAAATAATCAAACGTGACACGCAAGGACCCTATCAATAAAAGAAAAATAATGATTAGGCGAAGCTTTTATAAAAACAAGTGTATATTTTGAAAGGAGGTCGTCTTTTATGTGAAGAATAAATAAAGCTAGTAAAGCTATTAGGACTTCTAGGCGTGGTATGAGGTGAGGGTGTTCCGCTCTATCTACCGTCACGTTTATACTTTTTACATCTACCTCAATTATATAGTCAGATATAGGCATAGATATAACATCTACCTTTATAATCTTTCTCTTTATACATTTCGTTTTCGTCAAGATTCACTGAAGACAGGGTGATAGATACAACATTTATGGATTTTAAGAAATAAACTTGAAGCCTCGAGGTAAAGTATATTTCTGATATTTTAACTGTTTGTGTGAAATTAGGTCAAAGCAGGTTCACGGTGTGTTGAATTGTTTTATATATAATATAAAGTCTTGTTAAAATCCCAGAACCCCGTGACAAACGACATTCCATCGTGATTTAACAGGATCCACGTACGTCGACAACCTAATAGATTTTGAAGGCGCAAATTTTCTACATTCTTGACGGATAATCAAATCATTCTACAGAAACTTGTATTTTAATATCGAAATAGTGAAATCACAATGTGAGTATTTTCCTATCACACTATCAAATCCTGAACGCTGAAACCCTGTTTCAAAATATCAGTTACAGTACATGTTAAGTATTTTATTACTATTATTGCGAATTTTAGAGGATAGGGTGAGTGAGTAATTTACATGTGGAATATGGTATCAACTATAACACACCATGATATGTTTCGGATACTCAAACATTGTCAGTGATGTTTAGAAGTGAGAACGGGCTTGAATTATATATTTGTTCTACACAGTAGAATATCATTTTAGCCGATCATTCACACGGTACACAAAGTACTCCTGTTAAACGTATTTGACATGTTTACATTGAGTTACACATTATAGGAAATAAGATTTTGAAAGCCAAAGAGTTATTTTAGTTCACTGGCCACTATAAGGGAACAAATATAATGCGTAAAAATTAACAAAAGACTGTTATGTGAAGTATACAGAAATAACTAACAGCGCTTTCAATTCAATGTCCTACGACTAAAACTTTAAAAAGGCAACCGTGAATCGAATATATTTGACGCGAAACAAAAACAAGATATTTCCGTACAATCTTTTAAATTATTCGGAAACAAACATTATTTTGAAATTTTGATATAAAACGATATTCTTTCATTTATAAAAGGAACATGAATTGATAAAAGATGTCATGTAACTGTTGTCCTATCGATGCAATTCGAAAAACGTTTAAGGAAGTCAATCTTTCGAGAGGAGACGAGGGTAGGAAGCGTATTGGGGCATTCATTTTTTTTTTTTTTTGAATTTTCAAGTTAGTATGTTGAATTTTCAAGTTAGTATGTTGAATTTTCAAGTTAGTAACTTGAATTTTCGAATTTTCAAGTTAGTATGTTGAATTTAAAACGACTTGAAAATTCAACTTAATAAATTCAACATACTAGCTTGAAAATTCAACATACTAACTTCAAAATTCAACATACTAAAATGAATGGCCCTAATACGCTTCCGTACGAGGGCCATTACGAATCGCTTTTAATTTCTAAGCGTAAATGATAAAATATAAAGTGAACCAACCATGTCATATATTTAAAAACTTGGATTGAACTTGTTATAACTTGTGAAACGATTCAATGGTTAGATTATTTCTAGTAATATGGGAGTCAGATTAACTATGCATTTGACCCCTATTTATAAATCCTTATTGTTAGCCCCAGTTTTCAATTAGATACACCTGAAAGGATGTATATACCTGACGAGTCATTAACGTAGTAGGTGAAGAATGTGATAGAATAAAGGCTAGGTGTGGTCTCTTTCACATTGCAAATTTCGTAAGTTATTTTATTTATCACATGAATTTAAAATTTATATTGTTATCGAGGGCCGATTTTCGTCAGTTTTTTAGTCACAGATTGGGGTGAATAAGAATTATTAAAGTGTTTGTATGTATGTAGGTCATAATTATAATACTCACAATTAACGTGTTGTTTATGTAGGTTATAGACTCCATTAGGTAAATACTTGCCCAATGGATGACCTTAATGTTTATGTAAAATGTTACTTTTTGTTGTTCTCACAACCTATTTTGTCTTAGTTCTTTCGACCATTCTGGCATTATGTTTACATGTTCACCTCATCTAATCCCGTCTAATCTTTATGATCTTTTGATTTGTTTCGTTTAATTGAGCTATTCATTTTTATTCATCCTTAGTTGATGTTGTTGTAACAGAAATAAAGAAGAAAAGAGTACTGTAATAAAAACTACATTTGTTATCTAATGAAAACGAATAACTATATCCTTTGTCTAAAATATTTATAATCTCCACCACCAGTAAATTGGTAATAACTCTATTAATTTGTTTCAATTAACCGAAGACGAACTTCAAAATTCTTGTTAGGGCTGAATCACTTTTAGAATTGGGCTTTAATAATGCAATATGGATAACCAATGTTACAGTTTGACCAGGTGGATTTAATATGGATTAATTCATTTTACATATAGGTTCCTAAATGTTATTGAGTTCAGTGTTTAGATATGATGTAATGTATATAATAATATCGTTATATAGTTACGCAACCATATTACAATTCAATATTGTTCTGTATAAATGCTGTATTTGAAAGAAACGTTGACAAACATTTTAATCATTAACATGGAACACAGTTATTTGATAACGAGCATAAACTGATACTCGACGAGATAATATTTGCTGTATCTTTTTCTTATACGATCGCATTTGTGTTATGTGCATTACCAATGATAAAAATAGGATAATGCAAAGATAAATGAGATAGTTCAGTTTCAGTTATGGTTTGTTCTGTGCTGTCAAATTTTATTTTAAGTGTCAGAGATCAACGATAAGATAAAAGACGGTGCGAGGAAAGCTTTAAAAAGTGTTAAATCATTTACCATGTATTTTGAAACTTTTATTAAGCAACACGAGTTAAAGGTCTTATCGTTAATTTTTAACGGTAAACAGTTACTGTACCGAAAAACTTCGTTTATACTGGCTCTTGATATTATTAAAATGCTCTTATTATTTTTGTCGATTCAGGAAAAAATAACATATTTTGGTAGTATTTTAATGGTGTATATCTGCTTTTAATTTAAACTATCTGGAGTGGAACAGGACAGTATTTATTGAGGATAAAGACTTATTGTTACAATATATTCTCTATAAACGGATCAAAGATGCACGAGAAAGCTTGGATAGGCATGTGCTTCTTCATTTCCCTTATTGGTGCTCTGCTTCAAATAGCAGCTTATGTCACTCCTATGTGGTTATGGATAGTGAAGGGGGACTTCTATCTTGGTATCGGTTTATGGTTTGTAGTTGGATGTGGTGACAACTGTACAGCAGCTCAAGACAGTGATCCCGTTTTCAGTACCGAAAGCAGTAAGTAATGATTATATATTTGTTAATAAATTATTTGATGGGTTTATTAGTAGGCTGATGACTCCTAGTGGTGTACATTGTTTGCAAGAGTTTTCTCCAAATTTAGAGGTTATATTACCTTTGAGCTCCTCTATTATAAGTACTATGGCCGCATTTAGACAGTCACAAATTATCTGGGCCGTGTCAGGAGTACGGTTCGGCATATAATATCGTAATAGAGCATATCGTGTTTGCAATGGTTTGCGCGACTGACATTCACAAAACATAACATTTTATTTCTTTGTGTTCTGAAAACAAAATCAGAGATTTTCAAGAATCGTTTACGTTGTGAACGCGACAAAATTAATCACGACTTCAAAATCGTCGCATGTTTATGGTTGGCGGCATTTTGAATGTCCTCGTTTCTTTCACCTCCACTGACTGGAGAGCAGGTGTATACTTATATGACTTACTATTCTGAACCAGTGAAAACAGCGCAGTGTTAACGGCCAGCCGGGCCGAGTCTGGACCGAGGACGATTCATTTCAAGCAGGCCATTGTTTATGGCAGTGTAAACGTGGCTTATAACTCACACCTTATGCAACTCAACGACCTAAAAGTCCACATAGCCAATGTTATTTGGTAACCTACATGTATTTCATTATCTCGGATAAAGGAAGAACTATCTGCGCTATTTGTCAATTTACATAACCACATACTAGAGCAATTTAAATCATAACTATTCAAAAACTTTATGCTTGACTACAAAGCACCTCATTACCTCCAAACCATTAAACAATTAACCCCACTCCTGGGTTTAAAATTCCTGGCCTATATCTAAAGAAGAACATTGACGGAGAAATGTATATATATATAATCCTCTTTAATAAGAAATATATATATTTATATATTCGTGTTTTACCTATTATCGTACAACGTCATGACGTCATCTAAAATTGATCAAATATATTTGCACAATATCGGATGACTGATGTTCACCGTAGCATACTATTGTAGATACATATAATATCCTTACATTACTTAACTCCACCCTTTATATGCAATGTCTATTTTCGTTTAATTGCTAAACTTTATGATAGATAGTTCAATGTTTTTTAAATGAATCTGGGTGTAATATAAATCCAGTTAATGATCTTCATTCTATGTATTTAAAATCATCAAATTACAGTTTGAACACCATATTGGGTATATGACGTATGCGTTGCTACATAAATTCAATATACTCAAAAAGAAATTAAGAATGATAAAAATAGAAAATGAATTGCGTAGTCTGGAATAAAATGGCAACTCCATGTCCGTCTGCCCACATTTCTTGTTTTCACAATGTAGACTACAATGTTTAACCGATCGGTCAAGTTTGGAATTGTTAATAACCGGATGAATGGTTTCAGATTTATTGCCCTTGACTTAGTAAAACTTAATTATCCGATCTTGATGAAATTTAGTATATATTGACGAGATCTCAGTCGAGGTTCGAAATTGATAACAATCTTGTGAACAGTGGGCCTGATAGAGTCTACAATTTTTATCCGATTTTGATGAAACCTTCATGTATATATTGATGAGATCTCTGTCAAATTGGTAATAATTGGATGAACGGTTTTAGATTTCGCGGAAGGGCGGGTTTGATTCTTCCAAATGTACAGGCCTAGGGTGGAACAGATACCTATAGGAAACAATTTGATAGATTAAATAAGATGCCACCACAAATCTCTTTAACGTTTGTCAATTCAACCCCAACCTACATTCTGTCAAAATAGCATCCATAGGCTGGAATAGAGACAGGTGTTTCGGTCTACATGGTCTTTAAAGTACGTTTTGTGATATCCTTCCCAGTGGCGTCTATATTAAATGAGAAAAGAGAGTGGCACCTCCCCCCCCCCCCCCCCTCTATATTTTCAAATTTATGAAAGAATTGCCTATGATTCCCACATGTCAACTCGCCAATTCATCTAATAATTCACAGAAACTCCACTGCCTCTTTATCTTTTAAGCCTGTGACAGTTTTATGACAACGTTAAGCAAGGTCGAAAACGACTTTGTTACCATTAAAACTAATACCAAACTTCCACAAGAAACTATAATGAAACCCGTGCAATCGTTCCTTCATATTTCATACAACGTTGGTGATATTGTATTCCAATTTAAATTTATATTTTAAACTTTGTATCATTTATACTTGCAGATTCATACTACAGTAATGCAGTGTTCAACGTCTTGCGTGGGTTTGAGACAGCGTGTTTGATTGGTGCAATTTTATTATGTATATTCCTCTTAATACTTTTCATTGGTTGGAGTACATGGAACAATATGGCGCAATTACGAACTTCAGCCATCATAATGTCTTTTATAACATGTGAGTTAATTCCTTACTTTTAAAAACAAATACAGATCCTTTGAGAGAAATAGAAAGTGTAAAATATTACCCATGTAAATACCCCACGATCATGATATGCTATGTTTGTTGTTAACATCTTAGGTTATGTATGCCAGCTTGGTTCTTTGATGAAATGTTCTAGACAGACTATTTGATGTCTACTGACGCTTGTTTTGCTGACAAATCCGTTTTTAACAGTCTTGAAAACGGTTAAAAAATTCAAACAGTCTGTAATAAAAACAGGATACTTGTCGATAACAAATTGTTCATACTCTGTTTCTATAATTTTTTGATGTATCAATTTCCGAATGATATAGAAATATAAAAAAAGGTTCAATATTTATAAGTTTTTGGTTTAATGTGCTTTTTAAGTTTTCGCTTGAGTATAGTTGTGCTTTGTTTGCTTTGGTTTGTGTTTGATTGTTCTGATTTGCTCTTGTTTTCGATAAATTTCTGTGTTTTCTTTTCAGGGCTATGTTTACTTTTTGGGCTAGGAATATATATCGGAGGATATCATGATATAATATACTACAGCCCACGATTATTTGATTCAGAAAGTTTTCCCTGGTCAGCTATTCTCTCAATCCTAGCTTTGATTTGTATATTACTGGTAACTATATTCTTGCTCTGCTGCACCACATCTCCAAAACCCTTGATTGGTATTCCGATTTCCGGCGATTCAAAGATGGCTCTGACACCCACTATGACGGACTTCCAGAACGGAAAGAAGTACTACGTTCCGTCACCGTATACCGACGACCGCCGCATAGCAGGTTTAAATGATGAAAAACCAGCAATACACAACGGGATAGGTTACAATAATAAAGCCTATATCACTGATTATGAAGATCGCAATTACAATCCTACTAGTTACAGACCACGTTCTTACGCTGAACCATCGAGAATACAGGATGACATCTCCTACAGATCAGCTCCTCAACCTAACTTTCAGAGTCTAGATAGATATCGTGAACCAAAATATCTTGAAAGTAATGAACCTGTTTATTCCCACTATATAGAGAGAGCTCGTCCACCAGCAGGAGGTCTTTCCGTGCTTCCACCGATCACCAGTAACCCCGACCGCAGTAAATATACTGATCAAGTTCGACTCGGTGCCTCTACAGCCTTTATGTATAGACCATACGCCCCTGAACGATATTAATATTGTTACTAACCGTTTGATTAAAATCATATAATCAAAATATTTTAAGAAAAAAATAATTTTATAACTTAAAATTTTTCATTTGGAAGAAATGGATTGGGAGAAAAACCGATATTAATGATTTGCATGTTAAAGGTGTGTTATAATCCGTTGGTTAAGGCCGGGACACCTTTTATGTTGTTGGTGCAATGAAAATCTTCATCCATGTTTGTCAAGGATTCTGGAATGTTAAACTTACAATTTGTACTAGTAGGTTAACTAATTCATCGGCCTGTTACTTGCTGGTTACTGTATATTCATTGCTTCACTGCAGGCAGCTTCATTCTCAAAAGAAGTGAACTAAAAATACCTTTAAACATCACGGAGGGGAAGCTCATTTTCAAAGATGGTTTGCTTTCAGTGTAGTTTAAGAAATATTTTTTTTTAAATATTTCCACTTGAACGTCTACATTCAACAGAATATGAAAATCTATTTGACTATCTACAGACTTCAACATAATTTTAATACATTTTCAATTTTTTTTTTATCTAACATCACTAATATTATACTATATCTAAATGTATTGTAAATATTTAAATGTATGTCATTACTAATGTGGTCTTTTTAAAATAAATATTAATTTTTGAATTAAATTAAATGTATTGTTTGTTTTTTGCATTAAAGATTAGAATTAAAACTACATGTAAACGGTTGTTCGGGATTGTTTGCAGATTTCCCTGTGCTTTCGTAATTTCAATTATATGTTGTTGTTACAACCACTCTTACGAAAGTAACATTTCTCTTGGCTCACAGCACTGAATGTTTGCTTATTATATATCAAGAATGATATCGTGACAGGGACAGATGCGCCATTTTTTCACATTAGCCTCAGAAATTTAAGCCTTCTAGTTCATGTGTGTCCGCGTTTGCAAGTCGTCTTTTCTTGAGACAATACCATATATAGAAAAGACATCTATAGAAATAGGAACAAATGTTTTTAATGAAAGACAATTATTTTTACTGTGTTAAACAACAGTAACACTGTTTACAATCAGAACGAATACCTCAAATGTGTCGTCACTATTGTTATCAAATATTTATCGATGATACCAAGAAACCTATCCTTTACTTTTATTGCCATCACAATCATTACCTTGCAACTAACACAGTATAGTAGCAGATGGATTTTAAACGACTTCTAACTACTCTCAGAGAGAATCTCTAGATTTGTATGGTAAAACTTGTTATTAGACAATTCAAAAATTCCTATTACAGAAGATAATCGTAATTATTAATTAGACAAAATTATGTCTTTGACAAAAACAATAATGATGAGTAAGAACAACAAAATTTTACAAAACTTTTGACAGTTGTAAGTCTTAATTTAAGATTTTGGAGTACATGTGTTACTGCTCAGTTAAGCTACATATGAAGAAATAGGAATTTTTAAATTGAAATCAAATAATAGAATTGACGAAATAACAATAAGGAATTAAGAACATTGGATTTTGAGCTGTTCAATCTCTCATTTTTACATGACTATGTATTTCTACGCACCAAAACACAATCAGACTAGCATGGTTTAGAAATTATCTTTGTAAGTTGTTGTAAGACTATAGAACTGTACCAGCTGGTGATCCACAGGGCTCCTTGGCCCGTTATTGTTTTTGATTTGTATAACTGATATTATCAATATTTGCAGACGACTATATTTAAAAATTGGTTTTAAGTAGTGCGAAAAAGTTAAATATTTGGGCAAAAACGTGGCTGGTATCCTTCAACCCGCTGAAAACTGAAACACAAGCACTATAGACTACTAAACGAAATCCAGTTTTACCTACACTGAAATTAGACAATGTACCAATAAAGGAAGTAGATTTTAACTATAACTGGAAGGGCTGTGAACTGCCTCAGACCGTTGAAATATCGTCTTACTATGAAAATCTTTACAAACCATGTATTCTTCATTTATCTTGCCTTTCTTCGATTAATGTGACGTCATATGGGACGGGTGCACTGCAAAACTAAAAGACTTGTTAAAAAATTTCCAGTTAAACGCACTACGCACTAGGTGCTTTTAGAGGTGCCAGATACAGACTATTATATCATGAAACAGGTCTAGTAACTCTACAAGAAATACGACAACGTTATGAATTAACCATTATGTATTAAATTTACCACTACTTAACCTAATATGATAACCCATACAGAAAAACTAATGATTTAATCGAATACAATTGCAGGACAGAATTGTTTTATATATCCTTCATACCACCAAGCATTAGAGATAGGAACTTCCCTATTAACATAAAAAATCAATTACTATGTAATTGCCGCCTTCGTCTTTCTTGGACACAAATGGACACAAATTCCTGCGTCACATTTCGTACAACCCTACATGGCTTTGTGGTCACCAATTCGAATACTCTGGACATTACCTACTCCACTGTCTGATACATTCTGAAAAAAACTACTCTCTACCTTTTACAAGCTACAGGTCTGACAATGAACGCTCTTTTATTTGGAAAACCATGCAAAAAATCATCATTTTCGAGCAAGTTCATAATGTCATTCATTTAAGCAAAAGATTCTGCGGTATCTAGATTTTCAACCAATATCACCAGCACTTAGGTGTAGGCATCTGTAAATATATTCGATTTTATTCCAAAAGAAAAACAAAATTATCATTATTTCACTAAGTAACTAATTAATATTTTTATGTAATTTCTTTGGTTTTTTTGGGAAAGGGGTAATATAGGCTTCATTCTTTGAAATAAATAAAATATTCTTCACAACAACAACAACAAAAAAGAAAAAGAAAAAAAAAAAAAACAACAACAAAACACTCATAACACTTGCAAAATAATCCGAAAATTCGAGTGACCCTTCTGCTCCCCCTTTGGCCCCGCCACTGGTTTCAGATTCAAGTTTATATCAAATAACCGTTCTGCTCCAACTATTTTCCCTTCATGATTAAAAGTAGATTTTGTTCTCGATCTCAGTGGTTGTTCGCAGTTTCTTGTAGTCGACAGAACTCACTTTTACTGTTCTTTTCGAAAGTCTATATTGAAACGTGTAAAGGGAGTTAAATCTGGTTAATATGTTAACTTTTATAAGGTTCGGCAGACACACCTATCGAAGCGATTGATCGATTTTAAAAAGGCCACATTTCTGTAGAGCTTATTTGTGGGCCGATTTACCGGTTTTCATGGTTAGATAAATCTGATTAATAATAATTTCAATTTTCAAATCAATCGCCACTTTTCTGATCTATTACAGAATAAAATAGACAAAATCCCTATACAATGATTTCCAATAGAAAAGAAATGTTGGTGATTACAAACATTCTTACCAAATTTCGTTAAATCCGTTTGCCTTCTACATTGTTTACGAGCTAAAAATTTAACTCATTTATAAGCATGGATAATAAGTTCATATTGAATATATTTCGATTTTTTTTTATTTTCGATAGGGGTCATCTGTGGGTAATAACAAACACAACAAGTTTCGTCAAAATCCGTCAGGAAACGAGCTCTGTATCGTATAAAACACATTCGGTTTTCCAAAGTCACGTAACCCCACCCACCGTGTAAATCAGAAATGTAGACAAAAACCATACAGATTATTTATATGAAATAATTCGAACAATCTAAAAGAAATAATCCAAACCGAAAGTTCTGCATGTACCTTTATCTTAGAATTATCATTTTCGCAAAAGATTTTTTTATCAGATTTGTATGAATTTGGTGTTTCAAAACCGTGTAACTTTATCTAAACCTCTTGGCAACAAAATTTTGATTTTATTTTTTCTATATTCCGTATCAAGAGGGGTAGAATTTAGTGAGTAATCAATATCTACGAAAGCCTTTTAGGCCCATCAAAATTTCACAATTTCAGATTTCACAAGTCGAAATTTCGGATTCTACAAGTCGAAATTTCGGATTCCACAACTCAAAATTTCGGACTCCACAATTCGGGTTCTACAAATCAAAATTTCGGATTCCACAAGTTTGGACTTGTTGGAATCCGAAATTTCGAATTGTGCAAAATACATTCAGAAAAATAAAATAAAATTTTTAGATGAGCCTAAAAGTAGTAAAAGGCTTTCGTAGGGATCCGATGACGGTTTGCGGTTATAATAATATAGTTAAAGTAGATCAATAACACCGTTAAAGATAGGCCTAGTTAATATTTACTGCCATCATATTTCAATTCCATATTTTCAAGGCATAGTATTAATACAATAAATAACGATATGACGTCATGATATTGTCTTAGGGAGATGTTCTGTGATGGATTTATAATAATAGAATGAAGGAAAATTTATCAATGTGAGTTCAAGGTTTGTAAATAAATGATATAAAGATAAAAGATTCTTTAAATCGACATACTTCATTACATAAGTTTGAAGACATACTGACTATACATCAGTACAATATCCTATTATGTATATAAGTCAGGAAACTGAACTGGGGAATGTTCTTGTAAGAAGGATATCAAAAGGATATGATTGACAATGTTTCATCTATTAGTTGATTATAAAAAGCGTATAAATAGAAAAGGCTAAACCCATTTAGAATCATATCCTTGTAAGTATTCAGAAAGATTGTAGAAGTTTTTATTTAATCAGTGTTTTAGAAGATGTAAATTGTTTGCAATATCTGGTAAATATTATTGTTGTTATATTACCGATTAGCGCTACTAACATCAGTTAAATAATGCTGAAGTCTTCATGTTCTTGGGTTGGTTTTACTGATATTTGAATTGTTTAAATATTCGGAATATTTCAAGAAAAATCTACTTAGTGATTTCGCGGCTCACTTGAACTTATAAGACCCGTTCCTTGTCGACATTTGTAATTTTTGTTTTTAGTAGATAATAATCATTAAGAATGGCTGGAAGAAACCCAAAATATAATACATGGAGTCACCGCGGACGAAGAGACACATTTGAAACAAATTTTCATATCGGAGAAGATGACCAAACATCAAACAGCTCAACACATAATTCTCTTGACGAAGCCTCAACCCTAAATCCAAGATACAGAAACAACTCACGATCTGACAGCTTGACTGAAAATAGTGAAGACGGTGACGGTGAAACGCCAGAGGACGAAGGCAATTTAGAAGATATCACTTTGAAGACAGAAAATGATATTGAGATTACAAATGAGATTAATGAGACCGTTGTCACAGATAATAGTATTGAGGGCATATCAGTTTCAGACATATTGGTAAACCTAAAATCAGATGGAGGTGATAAAGTATTTGAAATTGTTGTGGGTGGGGCGCGCTCGGTTTCATCATCACCTAATCCCGTTGAAACAAATAAAGTCGTGTTAAGAGACAAACGTGGACATAAATTACACTTGACAAGGCCAGAGTCCAATTTTACGCCGACATTGAACAAGACTAAAAAGAAAGTAAAACGGTTCCGGTCGACAGGAGGTAGTATATATCAAAAAGACAGAGAGAAAGATGTATTTCTTTTGTATTTCTCAGACGGAAAGGCAACCGCCATGGATTTATCCTTCGCTTTTAAAAGACATAGTATAGAATGGTGCGAATATGAAAAGGATTTTAACCCCTCTCATAGTATTTTGTATGACCTATCTGTGTTTTTATTTACATGTAAGAGAATAGTTGCTGTATTATCTCCAGGTTTTTATCAGAGTAATCTGTTTATGTATTTCCTTCAGACTACAGTTAAATACTGCGTAGATCATGGGAAAAATGCTCTTATTCCAATACTCGTAGATACAACACCGTCGGACATACCCCTATGGTTAAATAGTTTTCGATATTTCCAATGTGTCCATCCAAATTGGACTGAAGATGTGTGTGAAGTATTGGCAGAAAAAGGTAAAAATAATGATAAGTATACTACGCTGTTCAGTAGTTTTAGTCAGTATAGCATGCATCAGTAATATCTCAACACAATACGGATATGTGACAAAATTTATGAAAACGAGACAATATAAAATGTTGAATATAGTTTTAAATGTTCCCAGTTATTATTTGTCTCTTTTCAGTTCAACCACTCAAATGTAAAGGTATGTTAAACATGGTAGTGTAGGTGTAGTATTACTTAATACATTATGATGGTATATACACGAATAAATTATAACTTTGAGTAACAACATGTATCAGGTTCTGTTTTAATATTTCTATATTATAAGTGGTCCAAGTATATTTGACTTTAGTCACGTGAGTTGATCAAATCTTTACTTATGGAGTCTGATTTTACTGCCACCATTATTACAAAAAAAATGACCAGAAATTAGTTTTTATCAGATCCAATAGAAAATTGAAATCTATAAAGTATCTAAATGAAGTCTACGGAAAATTGAAAAATGCAGAAGTTACCACAGAACTTATTAGTTTTACTTAGGCTCTGGTCTCATACAATAACAATATCGGTTATGTTATCTGGACGATTGTCAATGTCTATTCCTGGGTTAATTCGCCTATCTAAGACTTAAGTAGAAATACATTAATTAGTGTCTCCATACATTGGTTTTCATTTCAGACCATGTTTGGAATGAACATTTTAATACAATAAGCTCTACTACATCAGAACCACTTAATCCGAAAAAAAAACTGTCCAAAAGAACGGAAAGAGAAATGAAGGTAAATATTATATTACACAAAATTTAACACTATATTGTGTTCATTTGACAAACTTGCAAGAGTGAACTAACGGCTTTGTGAAGTTGTTTATTATTAAACAGTCAAAAAATCTAAAAAAAATATTTAATATGGGTATTATTGCCCTTATTCGTGGAAACGCGTTCAGCTTTTTACTTGTAAACACTCAAGAGGGCCCAATTCTCGGTAAATTTTAATGAAACTTTTTTGAATTGTTTATTATCAATATTCAAGAAAAAATAGAAAAAAAAAGAAATGAAATAAAAAGAAAAAAGCCTGTGATTATTGCTCTAGTAGTATGAAAATGTTACTCTTGAAATGTTTCATTAAGCTCTTGTGAACCTCCTGTACGACTACAATTATTGTGGGCGTATTACGATGGCCATCGCCATTTCTAGACATCTTTTGTAGGATGTGGGGCATGACATTCATTTCCAGTAGTATGGTCAAGCGGTATCCAATTTGTAATAACCATGTGGAATAAAATATCATCTCTTTCAGGAAGAATTGTAAAAGATCATCTGGAAATCATTATTGTAATCGACACTTTCATCACTTTTATGGTGAAGTATTCCTCTGCCACAAATTTGTCTTTGCTTGGTTATAATTATATTTAATTAGCTCGAAATCCCCCACTAGACACGGCCAGCTTAACTTTATTTAATTCTGTAATTACAGATTTGGCTGCAGACAAAGTTCGGCAGCCTTCCTCAAGAATTTCAAAATGTAAGTAATATTTCCATATTCGGAGCCCATATCTTTTCGTATTATCACTACATAATTAAACCGAAACAAAAATTAAATTTGATTCCCTTGCTTTGAACAATAAACCGCCACGCAACAATTACCTTCATCTGTCAACATTCATGCTGGAGAATTAAACATTATACAATACAATGATGGAGAAATGCTGGTAAATGAATTGCCAAAGTATTTTTCGTCGTCCACTGTATACAGAACAAAACAGGGTTCACATTTACAACAGTGCTTCTCAACCTCTATGACCCACTTCCCCACCTGAGAAAATTACTAAATGAAACTAAAAAGTGGTCTGTTGGCACAAAATTTTTTTTTCCTTATAACTTGTAAAGGCGAAGTTGAGAACTGAATGTTGACACATACTAAAATGGCTTTTTGATTTTTTGATTTTCAGTAAGGTTCATCCAAAGGTGATAATAAACAATTTCACCAAATTTCGTAAAAGGTTGTCAAGAATTATGCCTTCTAGAGTGTTGTCAAGCTAAAATTGAATGTGTTTACAAGAACAAAGGCAATAACTCATACTAAACATTTGTCGATTTTTCTGATTTTCAAAAGGGTTCATCCTTGGGTGATAACAAACTTTCGTACTAAGTTTCGACAAAACCAGTCAAGAATTGTGCCTTTTATAGTGTCTACGAGCAATTGTGGACGGACAGACAGACGGACCGACATGGATGACGACAATATACGCCCCTTATTTCATGTGGGCGTATAAAAATGACCAAAAAGATCATGGCACCTGGTAGGTCTGATGAATATATACTTTGTATTTGATATTCCATGCAACAGAACTGCCTCCCGCCATTTCACCCAATTCTTCAATCATTTCAATTGTCCACCCTTACCACGTGCTCTGTGGTTTGAAAACAAAATTGTATCCTTTCCAAACTCAACTCTGATTCCCATCAAAATTCAATTTGCTCAAAGAAACCTCTGATGGAGACAAACTGGCTTTAGGTATAGTTTCAAACTGATATTTAAAGAACACAGCCACGAATTTACATTACACGTACAGTGCCATGGAGATGTCAAGTCTCTTGTTGATTTGGAACCTTGTGTTTGATGATCTGGAACAAGGAATGCTACCTCTTTGAACGGACGGGAAATTTAAAGTCTTAAACTTGGTCACTAAGTGTATATATTCATCAGATTTACCAGGTACCATGATCGTTTTGGTCATTTTTATACGCCCATGTGAAATAAGGGGCATATAGTCGTCCGTCAGTCCGTCCACAACCTTTTACGAAATTTGGTGAAATTGTTTATTATCACCTGGATGAACCCTATTTCAAATCAAAAATCAAAAAGTGTTTTTTAGGAATTCTTGGGAACACTTTTAGCACGTTAACACTAAAAGTCACGATTCTTGCCAGATTTTGACAAAACTTGGTAATATAATTTTTCAGTATCGCCCAAAAAGTTCAAAAGAATGAAGGTTGACTATTTCATACTGGTACTTGTTACTGTACTGCCAAATATTTCAAAAATCAAAGCTGCCAGCGTATATTACATTGCCTGGCAAGCTATCTTAAGAGATAGTATACTTTTAACAACTAGCTTCGTTAATTTCAGGCGCAGATCGCCGCGTCTAGGGCACAGCTACGAATGTGAATAAAGATATCTATAGTCAGGCAAGTTAATATACGCTTACTCGCAGCTTTGTTTTTAAATAGTATATTTGGCGATCACCAGCCACCACTATTCTTTTGGGCTATGAAGTGATAATTAAATGTCGTCTAAAATGTTTATAAGCTAGACATCAACAGCTTTTCGAAAACAGTAACTCATTAAATGTTTTTTTTTTTCAATTTTTGTATTTTATTTGTTTATATTATTTTCACATTTTTATGAATAATTATAAGAAGTTTCATTTTAATCTGACGTGATATCTGAGTGGTTGTGGGCACTATTTAGGGCCATGCATAAAATGTCCCTTTTTATGGGACTGCATTGTGGCCCCACGTGGTGCACAGGGACATCGTAGAATAGCCGGTAATGTCTTGATAGTTCAGTTTTGTATAGATATTAAAAAGTTATTTGGCTTTTTTTCAAGTCGACCGTTCTCAAAAACTAGCAATCCACAACTGATCGGAGCAACTCCAATATATATGTCTGGCCCTAAACATGCAGATTTCCCATCAGTATATCAAGTCCGTGGAACGGGTAGGACCAGATTTGGCAGATCCGACCTGGCTCATAACAGGTTTTCTTTTCTGTATATTTTCAGTTTTTTTCCAAAAAATTTCAAATATGATGTTTCAATGTTGTTGAAATGTTGTTTAAGTGTAGACAGAACATGTTGCAAAAATGTTGGGGAAAAGTTGAAAGTGTCAACCCTGCATTAATCTATTGATGCACGTGTTTTGCAAGATGGAATCATTATTTCATACTGTATGTTTAAAGCTATCGTTTTCTAACAGGGATACAATTAATTATAGAAAAAAAAGTGTTAAGATTATCTGTCGGCCATTCATCTTTGCTGAAGAAACATAACCGCCACACACACACAGCATAAAAACCAGATAAGACAAGCCCAATCGATCAGTTTCTGAATCGATATCTAGACCTCGAACCTTCAACATCGATTATCGCCACTCACAAAGAAACCAACTAACCTTGAATCTAGCCAACCTTGACCTATTTTCATATTCTTGCTCGTGAAATTTCACCAATTGCATTTCATGATATAATACAGATTAAAGGATATATATTATACCAGGCCTTTTTGTCTAAAACCGAAACAGAAGATACAAATATATTGTTAGTTATAACTCAACTTATTTTCTCAAATATTACTCTGCTATTAATTTTTAAGCTATAAATAAATATACAGAAGAGGATGTTGTAAAAAATGTTAAATTTTTTGATCAATTACATATTTTGCGGAAAAATAGTTCAGCAAGTAACTGGTATTCCTATGGGTACAAATTGTGCTCCCTTGCATGCTGATTTATTTCTCTATTCTTATGAGGCTGAATTTATTCAAGATCTCCAACACAAGGGAAATAAACATCTAGCTCGTTCTTTCAATTCCACTTTCCGGTATATAGATGACGTGATGTCCCTTAATAACTCCGTTTTTGGAGACTTTGTCGATTTTGAAATTAAGTAATAAGAGGGGGTAAATCAGAACAAAAAGGAGTTACTTCCCATATACAGCCATCAGACTACAAAGGGTAACGTATCATATAACTACTTCTTTGTATACAATAATTTGCAATCTACAGGCCTAATTATAGCGATAAATCTAAAATATTGTATAAATGAGAATGGGTATCATGTAAGGAAAATAAAAACGTGGACACATTTAATACTGTTTTCCAAGTCATCATTCGATGTCTTTGATAAAACGACACTGAAAAAAAAAGTAAGAGTGGTTTATTACAAGAAGTAGAGTTTCTGCTAAGTTTACAAGGAAATGGCTAGTTTCAAGGGTAGTTGGTTTCACTTTGAGCTCAAGATCTAGATATCAACTGTCTTACCTGCCTTTATAGCAGGTGTGTGGCGGCCATATTTCTACAACTGACTGATATATTTTGGGCGGACAAGCAGGCCTATTTGAAATATATATATATATTAGTGTAATTAAAGTATGATAGCTTTCATAATCTATAGGCTTAAACAATTCAGTTTCTTTATTCCATTATTGTTATTACTGTATTTTACTACAACTGACACTCAATTTTCATAAAATTTTACCTTCTGACAGCATGCAGTGTTATATTATTTTATTTTTAGAGATGCTCTAATTGTAGGAACGATCTAATGCTGGTGAAAACGAAGAAATTGAAAAAACGGAGAACGTGAGTGCAAAGAGAGGAGTAAACAGTGAAATAATGTTCGCTAATCAACTACGACAAGAAAATAAAAAAGTTTATGACAGTGCAGACACATTTATTGAAGAGGGTTTTGATGTAGCTGTCGGAGATATCTTAGAAATTTGTGAAACTTGTGAGGACGGGAAATATGTTAGAGTTAGAAACAGTAGGGGACAAACAACAAGTATGCCAAAGCAAAATGTGTTACCCAACGTATTTTTACTTCCAAAAGCAGCTGTTGAAATGTTACAATTCCCAGCATTGAAAGCAGAAAACGATGCATTCGAAAGAGAGTTGCGTTCGATTGGTATGAAGGTCTTTACGACAGTTCATTCGGCGCCTTTAAATTCCCGATATAAATTCCAAAAAAATGATATTTTTGCAAAAATATATGTGAAAGGAAAATATGCGAATGTAAAAAATTGTCGAAATGAAATCTTATTCGTGGAAAATCGATTTCTCAAAGAAAAAGATTTCAAACAGAATTAAACCTAGGAAATTAGGTTGTTGCAAATAAAAGTTTTGTCAGGAAACCTCTTTTGAAGATAATTTACATTTTGGTTATAATATCGTTATGCTTTCAGAGATCATCTTTTGTCAGCATTAGAATAATATTATATTTATTTGCAATCTATCACGATTTATAGTCTTTATACACTATCACCGTACTATTCAAATCATACAAAAATGCACTTATTAGCTCCCAAAGTTTCTTACAGTGTATGTAGTTCATTTATGACTAAAATATCTTGAAAAAATTCATATTACCTTGTAGAATTTCTAAATTACATCTTATCCTCAAACTGTGAACAAAACCATTTTCCAGTAGGACAGCGTCAAACATTTTCACATTTATAATGAATCCATAGAATCTTACAAACCGGAAAATCACACATTATCATTTTGCCATATTCAGGTGGGCCATTTTTTTTAGTCTCAGAAATAAAATTTTCTAGCAAACCCCATCAGTGATAGTGTTCACAGCTCGCTGTTGAAATTTTAGCCTTCAAATCCATGTGTGTCCAGAATTATCCGTGTTCGAATGTAGAAATAACGACTCGTCAAGATAAGATACTCTGTGATATATAGAAAAGAACTATATAGCAATAGTGAGTAAAATTCTAAGTTTGAAGTATTTTAAAGGAATTATTCGACCTTCGTACATTTCTAGTACATCTAAAGACTATTTACATATATTCAAGACTCAAATCGACCCCCAAAATGGCACATCTATCCTTTAGTACAGTAAAGTACATGTGGTTTGTTTGATCATCAGACAAACAGTTTTTTTTTATCAATACCACTCACCTCTTAAACTGTCGTAACCAAATATTACCCATACAAGAGTCATTGTATATGCATACAATATTATCAGTCAGTTCCGATTTTTTTATGATGATGATGATGATGTTAGATCGCGTGATTGGGAGAGAAATGAAATGAATGGAGTTTTACGTCCTACTTTGCGATAAGGGAAATTTTGCCAGGACAGCGGCATTAGCCTGCTCTTTTTCGATTTTTAACTGTCTAGGGATCTTTAACGTGCACAGCCTGTAGCACACGGGGCCTCGGTTTATTGTCAAATCAGAACGACTAGACGCTTTTTCCATGTCAGCCCCTCGTACCTGCATTACTGACAGGGGGAAACCGGGTTGATAAATCCGAAGGTATTATCTCGACTTATGCCGGGATTGAACGCTGGACCTTCAGGTTAGCGAGCAAGCGTCTAATGAGCCACCGCGGCACCCGTGATTGAGAGAGAGAGAGTTTGTTTGAATTTGGACATGGACGATCTGGTTGGATTTGGAATAAAGTTCTTTTATCACCTCTACTTTGATTTATTGAACTTATGGTCACGACAATTTGGCGTCGCCGATAACTGTGGCGATGTTACTTCTTTAGAGATGTGTTAGTTGTGGCTTTTGTGACGTTTTATCAATTTTTCATGGTAGAAATTGAAAAAAAAAGAATTGAATAGACAATGTTTGGGAAATATTTGGGAAATACCCCACATATATCGCAATGTGAATGAGGACAGCCGTTTATTTTTCAACTGTGTATTATTCAACTGATATACGGACATTGTAAGAGCGGAATATTTCGAATATTGTGTAGAACTGAACTCTAACATTCAAGTGTTGGTGAAATTTCAGAAGATCTGGATTAGTTTGCAGGCCTACAGTGCTTGGACATTTTCCCGCCATTATAGAAGAATGTAAACACCGCCCACTCTCCAGTAGCGGTTCATCATTTCTTATTTCCTGCAATTTCCTAGGAACATTCAAGTGTTTCGTGGGCTATTTTTGATCAAAATCAGTGATTTTTCATTCCTCTCATTCAATTTTTGTTGTTGAAATTTTGTATTGTTTATTATAATTTGTAAATCTCTGACTGACAGTGCGTGTGTGTGTGTGCGTGTGGGGTTAAAAGGGTCCTAATTTACTTTTTACATTCTCTAAGCCTAGTTTTGAATTATTTTGTATCTATTTTAATGTATACCTGTACTCACCTTGTCCTGGTTTTTGTGACATTACCTAGGTCTATATTTAGTAGTTTGAAGGATCACATAGAACATTTTAAAAAATGTCTGGACCAGGTAATATAGGTCGAGGCGACGACACACAAGCCCGTAATGAAGAATAAACAGAAGTTCTAAAATTACAACATCTTATGGAGACTAGTCTTCAACTTCAACAACAAGAGCAAACCAGATTAAGAGAAAAATTGGCAAATCTTACTCATAGACTTACTTCATCCCAGCCTCAATTAAACCCAGCCCCAAAAATTTCCCATATCCCAATTCTAAAGTTAAGGATTTCACTGGAACATATTCAGGAGATGAACCAAATGTTGAACTTTATCTTGAGGATTGGCTCAACAAAGTACAAAGAGCAGTGGATAGCCCACTCTATACCAAATACAAAGGATAGGTATTGTCTCTACTACTAGAAAAACATACAAAAATCAATTGGGAAACAGACACTCAACAAGATTATGATGTTATTATTGCTATGCTAAAGGACACATTTGTTGGCAACATTGGATCACCATACTTTTGGAATTTTCTTCAATGAAGCCAAAATGAAGGATTCTGAATCTGATTAGAAGTTTTGGCCAGAGAATATTATGAGTTTGACTCCTCAATCACAGAAACTATCGTTATTGATAAATTTCTTGCAGGTATTACCGACTCGGTACGAAAGAATTTTTTTCGAACACACGCAGCATAAACCAAAATTATTAAAGTCTTTACCAAAAATAATTCACATCGCTAAAACCAAATCAGTTTTGGAGATATATGACAATCAAACTTCTCAGTGGTAACCAAACTGGAACTGCATCAAGAAATGATAATTTTACTTCTGATGCCAGATCTTATCAAGATTTGCCAGACCATCGCCATCACCAGCCTACCCAGGATTATCGAAGACGTATATATAATATAATAATAATAATACAATTCATTTGAAGAGCGCCTACAATCCAGCAAAAAATACTGCTCCGTGGCGCTATTTTCACATTTTGTAAGACATATAAAAGTCTAAAAACCAAAAATAAATTGGTCGAATAAATTCATTGTCATATTAAAATAGTTATGAAATATTGAAAATGTTTCATCCCATAAAACACACTATATGAAGTTTAGGTCTTAAAAGAGTTCCAGTAAAAGCGTTCCATGCATTATGTAAAAGCTCAGTTATTAACATTTGTTTAAAAGTGGTTAAAGTTTCACAATCCTTGATATACTTTGGAAGATTGTTCCATAGAAATGGTGCAGCGTATGAGAAAGATCTCTTGCTATAGGATGATTTTGTTACAGGCTGAGCAAGCAAATTTTGATTCTGGGATCTAAGAGTTCTTGTAGGGACATAGTGTTTTAACAAGGCTTGGGGGTATTGTGGCGAGTCATTGGAATGCAGGGTAAGGTAGGTCAAGTCAATGCGTGCTTTTATAGGTAGCCAATGCAGATCTTTTAGTACTGGAGTAATGTGTTCGTGTTGTTTGGTTCTGGTTACAATCCGTGCGGCTTTATTTTGAATCTTCTGTAGTTGATTAAGTTGGTTTGCAAGAAGGTTGAACAAAATTGAGTTGCAATAGTCAAGCCGAGATGTCACGAGAGAATTGACAAAGAGTTTTGCTGTGTTCACATCAATGTATTCTCTGATGCGTCCAATGTTATAAAGGTGGAAGTTAGTAGCTTTACATATTGTAGAAATATGGTGTTAAAAATCAAAATTACAATCTAATTGTACACCAAGATCGCGAACATTACTGCTTTCTGATATGCAGATATCACCGATATTTAATGGAGTATAAGTCATCTGAGAGTTCTTACTATTACCAGAAATCGTCATAACCTCTGTTTTTTCATCATTAAGTTTAAGAAAGTTTGCAGACATCCATAATTTGATTTCCTGAATACAGAGTTCCAGATTGTTTATTTCAGTTGTTTCAGTGTCTCTTTTAAAGGCAATATATAGTTGTGAATCATCAGCATAGAGGTGATAATCGATATTGAATTTTTTTACGAAGTCTCCCAGGGGAGAGGTATAAGCGGTAAAAAGGAGAGGTCCCAATATAGAACCCTGTGGTATCCCATAACGTAATTCTATAGGCTTGGATTTCTGATTGTTAACTTTGACATACTGTGTTCGTTGACTGGGATAAGACTCGAACCATTTCAGAGCAGAACCATTTATAGCAAATCTTTCATAAAGACGTTTCAATAACACTCTCTGATCAATGGTGTCGAAAGCAGCACTAAGATCCAAAAGAACGAATTTTACAATGTTTTTATCATCCAGCTTTAGAAAAATATCATTACAGACTCTAAGTAAAGCCGTTTCTGTACTGTACCGACATCTGTAAGCCTAATCAGTATTACAATACCACCCGAATCCCGGTAGTGATTACTATCAACACCAATCCCATAGACAACACTCACATCCCAGAGGAAATTATAGGTACAACCACCAATATGCATCAACTAACAGATGGGATAACATTCAATGCCTGAATTGTGGTGGATTTGGACATATTGCACGCCAGTGCTCTTCTGCGCCACGCTCAACACCAGACCAAAACCATGCTAACAAAGACGATCACTTTTCCACCTACACGTATTACTGCAAATATTTCTGGACAAAATCTAAAAATCTTTATTAGACTAGATGAAGCTAACTTATCAACGTTTAATGGGACATCCTTCAACTGGTCGAGCGAATGTCAGTCCGCATTCAACCATTTAAAACAATGTTTACTTCAGGAACTAATTCTACGTTTTCCAGACTTTACCAAATAATTCTATGTACAGACCGACGCATCCTTACTTTCTATTGGTGCTGTATTATGCCAAAACATTGAAGGTCAAGAACATGTAATGTGTTATGCATCAAGATCGTTGTTAAAAGCAGAACAGAATTACTTATCCATTCAGAGAGAATGTCTTGCCATTATATGGGCATGCAAAGTCCTCAGACCATATCTACATGGACGACAATTTATCCCCGTAACGGATCATAAACCTTTAGTTTATCTTAAGAAGTACTATGGTACCAATTCAAGATTAACTCGCTGCATGGAGACAAGGAAAAATTTGATTACATGGTAGTTCATCGCCCTGGTAAACAACATTCAAATGCTGATGCATTGTCTCGCATTCCGAATCTAGACGACAACACTGATCACATCATTACAAATACAGCACTGATATTTAATCTACCAAATATTTCATCCAATGGCACTTTCGTATCTATATTTTCATCTCAAGTTATAGAAATATCTCAACTACAAGATCCAATCATACAATCAATCAATAAATACGTATTAAGTCATACAATCAATCAATAAATACGTATTAAGTCATACAATCAATCAATAAATAAATACGTATTAAGTCATACAATCAATCAATAAATACGTATTAAGTCATACAATCAATCAATAAATACGTATTAAGTTCCAAACAACAAATGGACTCTGATCTGATCCGAAATTAAAGCCATATCTCAAAATCTGTGACCTGTTACGAGTTAAAGTGGTATACGTTACATCATTTGGTCATTTTGGTGAAGAAAGAACTCTGGATCAAATCGCCCACGATTTTACTGGCCGGGATGGCGAAAAGATACTAAAACATTTTATAAATCTTGTAGGTTCTGCGCTCTTCGCAAATCGCCTACACCTAGCCGACAATCGCCACTACATCACGCCATTGACCGTTTGAAATTATAGTTTCCATGGATTTTCAAGGACCCTTACCTAAATCTACCAGAAATATGCGCTACATCCTTGTCTTACAATGCAATTTTACAAAATACCTACCGAATCAAGCATCTAAAACTGTTGTGGATGTACTGATAGACAGGTTCATTCCACATTTGGGTACACCAGAAACAATCCATACAGATCAAGGAAAATTATGTCATGTGAAATTTAAAACTTGAAAATGCAAGGAATTTGTCAAAAAATGTTTAATGCACTCAAGAACATGGAAAACTAAAATTGTATCTTCTTATATTACACGATGAATAGTTATTGCCTCCCTCCACTTAAAGTGATTTAATCTATATTGTCTTCTATCAAAATATTTGCCATCTCAACTTATGGAGACATTGCTACTCTTTAAAATGGTATTTAGGAGCTTATGAATATGCAGCAATTTTGGTATTTCCTATCCAATGTAAATAATAATAACAAAAGTCAATTTTTTTTTTGATTATTTTATTTATCACTCCTGTCACATAACAATTAATTCTTATATTATTCTCTTATACCAATAATATTTTTTAGCCCAACCAGATTTTTGCCATTTGAAATTTAGAACTTGAAAATGTATGATATTTTAAGTAGGAAGTATTTTCCATGAGAGTAAAAAATTGATCCGTTGATGTTATATATTGTACGTAATATATATCGTCACTCCCCCCACCCCCTTTCATGGTCTTCAAATTTGAGTAAAATGCTTGTCCATTTGAACTTATAGCTAAACTGATATCCATCTTAACATCTATCTTAACATCTTAACAGATCGCATACATATCTCATCCTTTTTAGCCCTAGGTTAAGTTTTTTTTTCTTTTTTCGGATTTTTTTTACTCCTGTTAGACCACAATCAACTCTCGTATTATCTCCCTTTATTACTTCTTTAAGATTTGATTTGTCAATATAAATGTATTCTGATTATACATCATACTTACACAATTGAAAGAACATTCTCAACTTATCATAGCACAAGATGTTATTTTTGCATTAGTTCCAATAAACTATTCTATTTATAGACAAAAACAACGGGGAAATAAACTCTTAAAATTCTTTATTTTAAACAATTCAAATTCATCAACTGTCAACCAAATTTCAGTTATTTTGGTACCAAAAATTAGATCTTGCTTCGACAGCTTGTACAAACTGTGTGAAACCTAGTAACGGTTGGTCAAAGGGGTAGCCTAAATTTATTCCTTTTCGAAACAAAACTGGTAACATTTAAAAACTATTATTTTTGGTATTCACAGTATAAGACATTTTCCAAAATCGATTTTCTCCCCTTTTTAAAGAACATCTTGTAAATAATTATGTTTTTTGTCCTATTATATTTATTTGTATGATCTGTTCTTTTAACATATTACAATATATTTCTTTTTATTGTCCGGAAGCAATACTGAGGTTGAAGTGTGCACAACTAATGTGTAACATACCATATTTGGCGCGCTTGTTTCTCAGTTACCTGATCTCTTACTTTTCTTATTCTCTTTTATCTGTATGTAATGTCACTACTGTTTTTTTGTACTTCAATGTCCGTCTACCAGTCCGCACGACCGTCCTTTTTGCCTGTCTTCTTGTCCATCCCGTCAACTCTATTTACACTAATCCTGTCTTTAAACAATAATGAGTGATATCAGTACTATGTCAGTAAATTGTCAGGGCTTAGGAGATTCCGCAAAAAGAAAAGATGTTCTAAATCTATTAAAGTCTAAGAATTATAATATTTATTGTCTCCAAGACACACATTTTTGTCACCTTCAAGAAAATTTTATTCAAACTCAATGGGGTTACAATTGCTCGTTCCATTCATATCGAACAAATGCTAGGGGGTTAGCCATACTTTTTAATAATAGTTTCAATTTCAAGTTACATAATACCATACGCATTGAACATGCCAATGAGGATTTTAGATTGACTCTAATTAATTTATACGGACCAAACAATGATAATCCAAAATCTTATGACACGCTATTTGAGACTATAGAACTTATTGAAAATCAAAATTTTATTATCTGTGGCGATTTTAACCTTGTTTTAAACCAAGACTTAAATTGTAAAAATTATTAACACATAAACAACCCGAAAGCGCGCGAAAATTTGTTAAAATGGATGGAAGTATATGATATAAGAGACGTGTTCAGAGATTTATATCCCTCCCTTATAAGATATACCTGGCGTAAAAGAAATCCTCAAAAACATGCAAGGCTTGATTATTTTTATCAAAACATAAATTTGAAAACAGCTATCGGTCTGACCATTCGGGAATTGTTTTACAACTTTTTAAAAAGTTTTTTAAAGGAAATGGAATTTGGAAATTTAACAATAGCCTACTTTCTGATTTAAGTTATGTTCAATGTATTAAAGAAAGGATCAAAATGATTAAAATATGCTTTGCCTGTTTACAATATAGCTAATATAGAAATTATATCAAATAACGATTTATGTTTTACTATAAACCATCAAGATTTTATTGAAGTGTTATTAATGGAAATCTATAACAATTTCTTTTTCGGCATACAAAAATAAATGTAGAAGAGAGAGAGAAAATAAAATTGAAAATGAAATACTATTATTAGAAGATTGCATAACAAACTCTGAAGCAGACAAACTTGACTCTTTAAAACAAGAATTAACAGAAATTAGGAATGAAAAATTGAAAGGACATTTTATTAGAGCACGCGCAAAGTGGATAGAAGAGGGGGAAAAACCATCTAAATATTTCTGCAGTCTTGAATCGAGAAATTTCATAAGCAAACACATAAACGAATTGGAAAATGAGTGTGGGGATATAATAGATAAACAAGACGATATTTTAAAAGAAACCAGACAATTTTATAAAAACCTTTACTCAAGAAAACATTTCTTGAGCAGCGATGATTTAAGTGATAAATTAAAATTTCTAAACATTAAAAGCCTAACTGATGCAGAAGCAGAGGATTTGAACACTAATATTTCAGAAAATGAACTTTTAAATTTTTTAAAACAAACAAAAAATGATAAGAGTCCTGGGGCCTGGTTTTGGAAAGTATCGTAAGAAACGTCATAAGATATATCTTAAGACAAATTTTAAGACTATCTTATGACTATCATACGACATGTAATAGAATGTAAATCAAAGCTGTCTTACGATAGTCATATCTGAGATGCTCTTATGACTGTCATAAGTGATAACATTTACTATAAAAAAAACTATAGAAAATAAAATTTATAGTTATTACTTACAAAATATATTATCAACATTAAATTTTATATGAAAATGAATTAAAATCGTAGTTTGATCATTTTTTGAATTTAGTTTGTATATTTATTATACTTTTACATTCTCGTGTTTATTTATTATCTTACATGATGTGTTTGTTATTTAATTGTAAATACTTTTAAGATGTGAGACATCGAGTACATGTAACCGCTTAACGAAATGCTCGTGCAAATACTTTGAGAAAGTACTATGGATAAAAATAATACATTTATATTTATTATACATAATCATGAGTAAGAGAAGAAATCCGAATTTTACATCGCAGGAGATTCAAATTTTGATAGACGAAGTGGAGAAGAATAAGTCCTTACTTTTCAGCCGATACAGCAATGTAGTAACAAACAGTGCTAAAAAGAAAACATGGGAGGCTACATGTTCCAAGATCAATGCAGTTAATGATACGGATCATCTCCGAACTGTTGAAGAAATTCGAAAAAAGTGGACTTGCTACGTTAGCAGTACGAAGAAAAAACTAGCTGAAAATAAGAGAGAAACACGACGGACTGGCGGTGGACCCTTTCCAAATTCAGTCTCAGCAGTAGAGGAGAAAATAGCTGGGATAATAGGGAACACTCCAATTACTGGAATCGAAGGCGGTATAGATACATGCGAAACAACTGAAGAACAAGATTCTATTACTTCACTTCCTTCGTCTTCAAAGTGTAGAAAGTGTTCATCTTCAAGTACCAGCATTGAGCAAGGTATGTAAAATCGAGTAATGCAAATATGGTTTTGTTCATATATCAAAGTTTTGGCATTCTTCTTATTTGAACTTTTTATCATATAGGCTTGAGGCCTCTGTGGCCAAGTGGTCTAAATGGTTACAACATAATCCTCTATAAAGTAACACTGAGGTTGAGTGTGCATGTGCATGTTCACTCCATTCACAATATTAATTGAATAGGAATGGCAGTTTTTTTTTTATCGAAGATAGATATATGATATGAAATAGGCAATCAAACCATGTCTTGTTTATTTTGTGTACTGTTTTGAACCATCAGAAACTAAGGGCATCATTCTCTAAGAAAGCACACTTGCTAAGCAGTAAACTTATTGTATTTGATCAACTGAATAAAGACTTATTATCAATTTCTTATTTTAAGCTCTTCCACTAAATTCGTCTGACGATAATGATGATGATTTAGACATGATTGTGACCAAGGATATGTCATCTTCAAGTAAAGTTGGCAGATTGAACAAACCAACAAAGAAATCTCCCATGGAAAATGAATCATTGCGTTTGATTGAAATTGAAAATGAAAGGTTAGAAGTGGAAAAAGAAAGGTTAGAGATAGACAAAAGTAGATTGGAGGTTGAAAAAGACATGTACAAATTGAAGATGCAGAAGGTAGCAATCGAAAAGGAAAAACTTGAATTGGAAAAGGGCAGGTATCAATTGGAATTGTCAAGACAGCAATTACAAATAGCCGAGCTATGCACTACTCAACCGTCCCTCTTTCAGGCACCTAATCCATGTATGACTACCAATCAACTAGAAGGCAGCTGTGACCCATAACCTTTGATGATGCGATGCGTGTTGCAACATTTATATAAAATATATCCAATTTGTCATCAAAGAACTACTTTATGTATGTATAGAATGTATCTTTATTAAAGAAAGCGGCCATTTATAAGTCTTCTGCGTACAGAAACACCGTCATTTAAGTTACCATCGTACTGTTGCCTGCCTATATGTCTACGATCACAGTAGTTGTCATCTGGTGGTAGAGGAATGCCATTGTTAATACACATATTGTGCAAAACTGCGACACTAACGGTTATATCACAGCTTTTTGCAGCTCTGTACAGAAATGTTCCAGCACTATTGTCAATACATCTGAACCTAGACTTCAGCAATCCAAAAGTCCTTTCCACCACACATCTTGCACGCATATGTCCTCTATTGTAACGTTCCTCTGATTCAGTGCTTGCATTGAGAACTGGGGTCATTAACCATGGGCGTAAAGGATAGCCACTGTCCCCTAAAAGCCAGCCAATGTTTATCTCTCTAGAGTTGAATAATTCATAAATCTTTGAATTTGTCAGAATAAATGAATCATGAGTGGCGCCAGGATATTTAGCGACAATGTTCAAAAACTTCATATTTGTATCGCAAACTGCTTGAACATTAATAGAATGGTAGCTTTTTCTATTTACATAAAGATGTTCATCCTCTGTTGGAGCTTTTATACGTGTGTACCATCAATGGCAGCGACTACGCTTGGAAAGTCTGTTTTTTCATGAAAACCTCTCATGATGTTGCGAAGTCCAGCCTGGTCAGTTGGCATCTTTATATAGTCATTACAAACCCTCTTTAAACATGCAGTTACATCACGTGTTATTTTTAGATACACTTGGTCTAGATATGTTATGGACATCAGCATTGACCATCTGAAAGCTTCCAGTGGCATAAAATCTGAATGCAACCATGATTTTGAATGAAACTGGAAAGGCACGAGATCTTGCTGTTGGCCTTGCTAGGGCTGTTTGGAACATTCTACATAAATCTAGTATCATTGGGCGTGAAAGTCTATATCTACATACTATTTGCTCATCATCCATGTAGTCTAGTGGGTTATTTCTGTCTCGAAATACTCTGTTTCGGCGTACGTTTTCAGCTTGTCGAATGTACATGTAAACAGCAGCCATATTCTTTTATTCACGTGATATCGAAGCTATTATGATAATCAGAAGTCCATCATAACTTTTATGATAATCATAAGACCATCTTAAGACAGGTCGAGAGGTGTCTTAAGATTACGATGAAATTTATGATTTATCGTAACTTAAGACACTTTCGAAAGACCATCTTAAGACGTGTCTTAGTCATAAGATACTTTCGAAAACCAGGCCCCTGGATCAGATGGTTTCTCATTTGAATTTTTGAAGTTTTTTGGGTTGACATAGGAAATTTTATATTTAGATCTCTACATTGTGGATTTTTGAAAAAAGAGTTATCTGTAACCCAGCGTTTAGGCTTGATCACGTGCATCCCTTAAAAAAGACAAAGAGAAACATTTTCTTAAAAATTGGAGGCCTATTAGTTAATGAAATTGTACATAGCCGCTAGTTGCATCGCAAATAGGTTAAAGACAGTTTTAGATAGATTAATTGACAGAGATCAGACCGGTTTTATAAAGGTACGTTTTTTAGGAGAAAATATTAGAATAATTTATGACATAATGCAACATACAGAATTTCATGACATACCCGCACTTTTATTATTAATCGATTTTGAGAAAGCTTTTGATTCCATTTCATGAGATTTTATCGGATCCGTTCTTAACATTTTCAATTTTAAATCTTATATTAAAGACTGGATCACCATCTTGTACACAAAATCGTGCTCCCGTATTGTTCAGAATGGTTTTTTTTATCTGAATCATTCCATCTTGAGAGAGGATGCAGACAAGGAGACCCACTATCACCATATATTTTCATTTTATGCGCTGAAATTTTAGCAATTTTAATTAGAAACTCAAAAGACATAAAGGGAGTAATAATTGACAACGAGGATTTCAAATTATCGCAATACGCTGATGATACAACGTTTATTTTAGACGGCTCTCCAGAATCTATTAAGGCCACTTTTCCCATTTTAGACTTTTTCGTGACTTATCCGGTTTAAAAATAAATTTTTCAAAAACAAAGGCAGTATGGATTGGCAACAAGAAATTTTCACAAGAGGTTTACCACCACGGTAAATGGAAACTTTCATGGGGGTCTGACAATTTTGATTTTTTAGGTTTTAGGTTTACTACAGATTAAAATAGATTACCAGCAATAAATTACGATTCAAAATTAGATTTTATAAATTCACTTATAAATCAATGGTCAGTCCGTTATCTAACTCCGTTAGGAAAAAGTACTGTTCTGAAGTCTTTGATTATTCCAAAATTAACTCATGTATGTATTTCGCTTCCAGATCCAGACACATCTTTTATAAAATTACTCAATGCAAAATTTTTCAAATTCATCTGGAATGAAACCCGAAAAAAATAGTAGAAAATCAATTAAGCAATCTTATGAAGAAGGTGGTTTGAATATGGTAGATTTAGATAAATTTGTAATTTGGTTAAAATCAACTTGGATAAAACGACTTGTTACGTCAGAGAGTAAGTGGGTACAATTATTTGAATGTAGTACTGGTCTTAAACGTGATCTCATAACAGTATTTGGCAATTCGTATATAGAACCGAACGTGGAAGATATTAAAAATCATTTCTGGAAAGATGTCTTAAAATGTTGGATTCAAATTAACGAAAACAATAAGCTGAAAAACAAAGCAAATTTTGGTAAAACAGTAATTTGGCGAAATCATTCTATAAAACTTGATAATAAATCTATATTTTACTCAAGATATTTTAACCATATTATTTTTATCTCCGTTCTCTGGAATGAAGATGGAGATTTTGTAAATTTTAATTCCAGTTCCAACATAAATATCCTAGTTTACAAACAAATTTTTTAGAACACATCTCTTTAATAAAAGCAATTAAATCATATAGGAATACGATTAATATAGAAGGTCCTACTACAACTATATGTCGCCCTTTTGTCCCGTTTCATTTAGAATTACTGTTTGAGAAAAATAAAGGCAGTAGCCATATTTATGATATATTAAGAGAAAATAATTCTATAAAATCACAAATTAAATATTATACGTTAGGATACAGAGTGTGTGATTGGAGAAAATACTATATGCTTCATTTTAATATTTCAAAGAATTCCACGATAAACTGGTTTCAATATCGTATTTTACACCGTATACTACCCGTAAATTATTTTCTTCATAAAATAAAGATCATTTCGTCGGAGTCTTGTACCTTTTGCCACCAACAACCTGAAACTTTAGAACATCTCTTCTTTGATTGTTCATTAAAATACTCTGGGATAAACTTATGAATATTATCAGTGAAACTACTATTCTCCATATGGATGTATCAACTTTAGAAATTATTATGTTTGCTTCAATTCTTTAATTGTACCTTTAAATTGGCTTCTTCTGCATTCGAAATTTTCCATTTATAGATCAAGATTTTATAAAATAATACCAACTTTACCAGCTCTAATTAACTATCTCATCGATAATATTGTAGTTGAAAGACATCTCCAAATTTAAATGGCAATTGGGATATTTTATTTGAAACCTTACAAGAACTCAAAATATCTTAATTATAAATCACACGAAGTACAAGACGGAGTGACGTACAACTTTCCTTTAATCTTTCCTATACCGGTCACCTATTTCTATTTTCTTACTTTCTTCGCTATCAACTCTTTCATAAACTACACAAAGTATAGTATAAAACACTATCTTTTTACACTATATTTTTACGTATATTTCAACGGTCAAGTGGAACAATCCAACAAAGTAATTGCAGAATTGTTATCAGCCATAGTCAAACAGTGTGCAAGTGGGCGTTTGTCAGAATGGGATCGTTATCTCCAACTTGTATGTCTCGCCTACATTACCACAACGCACTCAACAACAAAACATGTTCCTGCTTTTCTAGTCTATGGAAGAATACCCAGGACACCATTAGATGCTATATTCGGAGCGAATTCTTGTCAATCTCATACTAAGTCACTTGATGATTACGCTACATCACTATCAGACAAACTTTCAAGAGCTTTTCAAGAGGTCCATTGTCATACAGAAGTTACGAAATTGTTCAAGTTCTTGGCGAAACAACCTATGAAATATACAATGCAGCAACAAATCATAAAATAATATCTCATTTCAAAAATAACAACCTGCTCATGCGAGAGATTGCAGATTCCAGAACTTCAGCCAAAACAGACTACGATACCTAAACAGTCAACATACAATCCAGACGACGTTATTTTCCTTTACGAAAATAATTAATTAGACCTCACAGCCTACATTAAACGTCAAACCTCAACTCGTACCAAGACCACCAACTCCACCTAAATCTTCTATCACAAAACCAGTCTCAACGCTCAAACCTATATTACGTCGTTCAAGTCGTATTCCTAAACCTTGATCGTTTTGATCATTCGACCTAATTTGTCATTTTTGTAAATTAAATAGTAATTTTATTAAATATGTCGTAGCCGTTCGTTACTATATTCTAATTATTTTAATTTTCTTTTGTATTGGTGGCTTTTTTGTGGACGTATAAAGTATAAGATTATTCAAGTATTATTAACTAAGCATTTCTGAAAGGCTAATGAACTATAAAATTAATCAAAGTCAGAGGCGGATTAACTTATAGGCAAACTAGGCAGCTGCCTTTCGGGTCATAGAAAATTCGGCCCATGACAAATTTTGTAATAGTAAAAATTATCAAACAGTTAATAAATTTCCGCAGGCCCATTTAAAATTGTCCTACTAAGAGCGTGATGTGTGAGAATCAACTAAATTTTTTGAGTCTAATGGTGATGAATGCCGATATCGTGCATACGATTGATGCTAATGACCTGATTGATCTGTTCCTGAAAAAAAAGATTGCAAACTTCCTGCTATAAAATTGTAATCACACCATGCTCACTACCTAAAATGAGAAATTAGGCCCTCTACCGTTCGTTTGCCTACGGCCCAACAAGTCCAAAATCCGCTACTGATCAAAGTTTTACTTTTGTTGATAAACTCTTAAAATACCGAGTTGCAGTAGAGTCATTCATATTACCCGTCATAACGTCAAGTTGTTTTCTACACTGACAGTGAGCCCGCGTGCATCGAAAATCCCGTGAAATGAGCTATATAGCCCTAATTAGGGTCAAATAGACCAGGAAATAAATAAAAGGGTAAAATCCAATGTGAAACCCCTCAAATCGCAACTCTTCCTATCTGATTATAATAGGCGTATAAATAGAAAAGGCTAAACCCATTTAGAATCATATCCTTGTAAGTATTCAGAAAGATTGTAGAAGTTTTTATTAAATCAGTGTTTTAGAAGATGTAAATTGTTTGCAATATCTGACATATAAAGTACCGTGTAATATTACTGTTTGTTGATACTTGCTGATTAGCGCGGACTAACATCAGTTAAATAATTCTGAAATCTTCTAGCGATTATCTCTGCTTTTGATCTTGGACTTACAAGACTCTTTCCTCGTCGACAACATTGTTTCTACAATTGTTTGAAGCTGTAGGCTGTTTGGAATCTTTGTTTCTTGTTGATGATGATGATGATAAGAAATGGCTAGAAGAAACCTTGATTCCCTTGACGAAGCCTCATCGTTAAATCCAAGATACAGAGAAGATTCGCGGTCTGAGAGCTTAGAGGAAAGTATTGTCGACAGCGAAGTTGAAACGTCAGAGAGCGAGAGAAAATTGGAAGATGATTTTAAATGTGCAAAACAGACTGTCTCCGCAGATAAAAGTGTCGAGAATGTATTAGTTTCGAACAGATTGGATGCAGAAGATGAAGAAACCAAAACGGCAAACAAACGAGGAGGAGATAAATCAGACTTGACAAGGCCAGAGTCCGATTTTACGCCGACATTGAACAAAACCGAAACCAAAGTAAAACGGTACCAGTCGACAGGAGGTAGTATATATCAAAACGACAGAGAGAAAGATATATTTCTTTTGTACTTCCAAGACGGAAAGGCAACCGCCATGGATTTAACCTTCGCTTTTAAAAGACTTGGTAAAGAATGGTGCGAGTATGAAAAGGATTTTAACCCCTCTCATAGTATTTTGTATGACCTATCTGTGTTTTTATTTAGATGTAAGAGAATAGTTGCTGTATTATCTCCAGGTTTTTATCAGAGTAATCTGTTTATGTATTTCCTTCAGACTACAGTTAAATACTGCGTCGATCATGGGAAAAATGCCCTCATTCCAATACTCGTAGGTACAACACCGTCGGACATACCCCCATGGTTAAATAGTTTTCGATATTTCCAATGTGTCCATCCAAATTGGACTGAAGATGTGTGTGCAGTTTTTACAGAAAAAGGTAAAAATAATAATAAGTATACTACGCTGTTCAAATTAGTCAGTATAGCATGCATCAGTAATATCTCAACACAATACGGATATGTGACTGTAGAATATTGATCTAGGTGGTCCAAGGGACATAACTGTATATAAGGAACTCTTTAATAAAGAGGTCAGAAATGGTAAGAAAGGTCAAGTATGTATGACCGCACGATTGATATGATGTCTAGTCTTTTTAAAATAATAAACAGTAGTCACTTCTAATCTTTGATGTTAAAACCTGAAAACCCACGACACAACAGTGACAAAATTTATGAAAACGAGACAATATAAAATGTTGAATATAGTTTTAAATGTTCCCAGTTATTATTTGTCTCTTTTCAGTTCAACCACTCAAATGTAAAGGTATGTTAAACATGGTAGTGTAGGTGTAGTATTACTTAATACATTATGATGGTATATACACGAATAAATTATAACTTTGAGTAACAACATGTATCAGGTTCTGTTTTAATATTTCTATATTATAAGTGGTCCAATTTTATTTGAGTTGAGTCAAGTGAGTTTATCGAACCTTTACTTTAATGGGGTCGTTTTACTAAGGCTTTAACTATGGCACAATAACAGTATCGGTTATGTTATCTGGACGATTGTCAATGTCTATTCCTGGCATTCATATTGCTTGAAATTTTGAAGTATCGGCTATCTAAGATTACTTGTACAAACATTCAAATTGTATCCTATTTGGGATACATAATAGCGATTGGTAGTTTAAATCCCCACAATATTCCCATAAAATTATTAGTTATCTATTGTTAAATTGAAAATAAATTCCTGTAAAGGACTTCTCCGTAAATTGGTTTTCATTTTATTTCTAGGTGAACATCTTTGGAATGAACATTTTAATACAATAAGCTCTACTAAATCAGAACCACCTAATATGACAATTAAACTTTCCAAAAGAACGCAAGAAAACATGAAGGTAAATATTATTTATTCAATTTGCATTTAACACTGTATTGTGTTCAATTGGCAAGCGTTCAAGAGTGAAATAATCTTGTATTAAACCCATATTGTTAACAATATATTTACGTGCTCACGAAATAAACAACGTAAATAATACAATATAGGTGTGAGATACGCTTTATGACGCATGATAATCTCTCAATACGTGTACACGATTGGGGACAAAACTAAACACAAGCAGTATAAATTGTGATCGAGACTAAAGAAACCAAATGTATGGTATTCATAACTATACAATGTATATTTGAACTTAAAATAGTTTTAAATATATGTGGACTACTCATGATCATGGTTTGAATAATACCCGGATATGCACAGTTACATTTGCTTAAATATGCGTTAGGTCTGAGGATCATCCGATTCCTCACTTTACACACGTTCTAATCAAGACGTTCAGTATAGATGTTCGTTCTACAGATGTAAAGTTAACCTTGTATTTTTTAAAAGGAATACTACGTCTTAGAATGAACATAAAATTTAAGTTCTCAAGAACGGTCAATATCAGTATAATATTGACTTAAATTCTGGTGTAACTTTATGACGCCAGGTAAGTTATATAATATATTACTTACCTGGCGTCATAAAGTTACACCAGAATCCCTGTAAAATCTGGAAAATTCATAAAACTAAGTAATTATTGAAAAACGCTTAATCAATATTTAGCGTTTTTCAATAGTTAATTTCATTTTTTATGGATAATTACTAAGTTTTTTGGATTTATCGGATTATATAAGGATTCTGTTATGTTATATTACACCAGGTATATCTACTGATGACTATATATAATGCTCTTACTGGCTAAGTTTAAAATTTTTAAATTTATGTTCACTTAAAGGTAGTATTCCTTTAAAGAGATCTTTTGTATTATTCGAGGCACGAACTTCAATTGCGGTAGTATGGTCAAGTAGCAGTATCAAATTTGTAATTACCATGTAGAATAAAATACTCAATCACCTCTATTAGAACTTTACAGAAGATTTCGACGATTTCGTTATTGTAATCGACACTTTCATTATTGTAATGTTCCAGCAAAATCACCCACTGGACACGGCCAGTTTAACTTAATTTATTTCTGTAATTGCAGATTTGGCTGAAGAAAAAGTTCGGCAGCCTTCCTCAAGAATTTCAAAATGTAAGTAATATTTCCATATTCGGAGACCATATCTTTTCATATTATCTCTACATAATTAAACCGAAACAAAAACAAAATTTAAAAATTTTTTTTTTGTAAACAATATTTTATTCATAAAAAGTATGAATGGGATTAGGGAACAGGCATTCGCCTATATAACCCTTCTCCATAAATACAATCAATTTTACAAGAATTTTAAAGTTTACAAAATAACAAAACATATATACATAAAATACATACAATATAGTAAACAAGTAAAAATAAATAATAAATTTATGGATATACAAAATATTGATTAAGTTGTAAATATAATTATAAAAGTAAGAGTAAAAAAAAAAAAAAAAATAAAAAAAAAATAAAAAAATAAAACAAAAGCTACACACGAGATATCCAAAAAGACGATTAAAATCGTTTACTGGAGTTAGTGTTAAGAGTGAAGAAGTTCCTAAAAACTTCTATGTAAAACACTGGCCAAGGTCACAAATAAAGAGATAAATGTTCAATACAAGATAAGGTGAAGTTAGCATAGTTAGTATTAAGTTAAAAAAAAAAAAAAAAAAAGACAACCACGAGTAATCTACAATAACCAAAAGTCTATAATATGAAAGTTTTCTTGTTACCAGTTCGTTAGTGAAATTATGTACATGTTGAAATATAGTTTGAGAAGTATTGGTGCAATCTGTTACATATAGTAAGTTATGTATAGTGATAAGATCTTGTGAATTAATGAGATTGAGCAATTTCGT